AAACTCAAACACGATCTAATTTCAAATAAAGCTTTGTTTGATTAAATGCTTTTTAATTTGTTGCATCACAGCTTTTGTCTACTTACTCAATAATTTGCTGAAAATAATACTGATCTATACATTTCAAATCTAAATTTTCACTGTGCAACGCCGGGTAACTCAACTAGTATTTATATAAATCAATTGCCTCTATAACTCATTTCAACCTTTTCTCAATTTTTACTTCAATTAGTAGTGAAACAACAAACCTCACAATATTCAAATTCTGTAATGTGATAATTAAAAGCATGAAAGTTAAAAATATGAAGTTAAACAATTTAATTTTTAAGAACAGTATTACTGTTTTTCATTTTAAGTAGAAATATAGGTAGAATAAGAGCATAAAAATCAAAATGAATGACACATGGGTCATAAAATCAATGAAAAATGTGTAAGTATATTTGTTTCAAGTATTCACACAAAGCTAAACAAGGGCTATCTGTAGTAGCCACCCATAATTTTGAACTGATAGACTAGAGAGAAGATAATTATTCAACAGCATCCATCACCAAATGTTGAGTTACTCTAGTTCAATAGTGAAATTTGACTGTCATTCTCATAATGCAATAAGCTCATTTTTTGTTTTTTAGTATTAATGGAATGCAAATCATAAGCTCTTAGGTCTACAGTCTAGCATGCTAAATACTAAGCTCCTCCTTACCTATGAAAAAAATTTAAACTGGTGACCATAAAAATATGATGGTATTATTGAGCAGCCTCCTAAGGCTAATATATTAAGAAAGAAAGTATGAAATAAAAATAAATTAAATATTTAATAATAACAATAGCCTGTGGAGAAAAGTAGTAGTTAATTATAAAAGGAAATTAAAATAAATAATACATTACTTATCATGTTAAAATAAAGAAGGGAAATAACAGCCCACCAATTAAAATAAGTATTGATGGTTAGCATAAAAATGATTAAGTTTCAAAAAATTCAAATAATTATAACAAATTTAAATGAAAAATACAAACCACAATTGTACAAGATAATAAAGGTCTGAATATCCAAGTAAATGATACTTCTGTTTATCACAAATATATACACATACAGATAGATAGCATGAAGAAACACTTAAAACTTTTCAGGTAAAATAAAACCTGAATTTGACTTTCACTAACCTTAGCATCAAAACGAAATATCAGACTGTTTGCCAGGTCACCAATCTCTGGATATTTCTCAACATTGAATATGTCAGTGCTGTTAGGCCCTGAAAGAAATAAGACCTGTGTTATCCAGTACCATAAAATTAACAAAATTCCATGACACCTACAATAGTGCTTCACATGGATCTTGGGTTTTTTAATGTATAAACATGATAACAATAAGACAAGCATATTTAATTTTCAATATCTTGATGCACATACTATTTAGTCTATGTCTTTGTCCTATAGTGTGCCTGATGCATATAGTTCTGGATATGACTGAAACGAATATTCGAAAGTTTGAATATTCACGAATAAAAGGATTCAATTTGGTTTTCAAATGGACATTTCCAGATTTCGAATCAATTCGAATACAAAACAAAGATGATGGCAAACATGATAACTGAGCCTCTGTCCACACTGTGATCTCACTGATCTGCAGTGTGGTAGCATTTGGGATTTAAAAATGAAAAAGAAGGAAAAGCAAACACATCTATTACTGTATGCCATCACTGTTTTGCCGAATTTAAATACGTGACAGGGTCAACAACAAACATGTGTTCGCACCTGAAGAAAAGACACTCCTTAGACGTTTCCAGCAATTATACTGAGGGAATCACCTACTACTTCTAGAAGCTTCATCATCAGAAACCCCAAGTAAGTCTATCACACCAAACAAGAGATTACCAGGGCAGTTGAGTCTTTTTGATGTCATGAAAAACAAATATGCCAAAACAAGCATGAGACATAAACAAATCACCAAAGCTGTTGTATTCATTTCAAAGGATATGACACCTTATTCAGTTGTTGAAAATGAAGGTTTTCTACATATAGTGTCAGTTTTGGACCCTAAATTTGATATTACAAGCAGGACTCACTTTACAGAGAAAATAATCCCAATGATGTATGAAGTAAACAAAATTGTCAAAAACAAAATGCAACCATGTGAATATGTTACACTTACTTCAGATGGATGGACTTCATGATCAACAGAGAGTTACAATACCTTGTCAGCCCACTTTATGAATGATGAATGGGAACTACAAAACTATACTTTGCAGACAAGAACATTACACAAATCCCATACACCAGAAAATTTGTCTAAGATGACTTAGAATGCCATCACTGAATGAGACTTAGTCAAAAAGGTGTATAAACTGACCATTACCACAGATAATACTGCTAAATTTTCAGATTTGCAGCATGACAGATGCATAGCCCACACTATATATTTGGCTACCCAAAGAGAATTGAAGATTCAAGAAGTGGAAAAAGTTCTCAGTAAAGTAGGCATGTTGTAAGCTTTTTCCATAAAAGCTCAACTGCTGTTGCAGTTTTGAAATCAAAACAATCACTCCTGGACTTACCTATGTATAAATTAATAATGGATGCTTCCATAAAGTGGAATTCAACTTTTTACATGATTGACAGATTTTTAGAACAACAGTGCAATAGAAGCAGCTCTTTTGAACAAAGAGGTGAACAAAACTCCAAAAACATTCTAAATCTGACTGAAGATGACTTAAATACATTAGAAGCTTTAGTGAGAAGACACCCACCATTTTCATGACACACCCATTAAAATCTATGATGCAGCAACATCTTGCCAGTTCCAATGTAGACAGTCAGTTAATCACAGATGTAAAAACTGCCATCTTAAATGATTTGAACCAAAGGTAAGTATAATAAATTAATAATAATAATATATTCTATCAACAAAAACAATGATAAAATCAGATCATATAAAAATTAAACACTGAAGAATATAAATGCACATTTATGAATTTTATTCAGAATCTGACCTTTATAATATCACATGTACAAATCAAATTCTATGAGAGGAAGGTACATGATTCAATAACATACACATATATTTGAAATTGTTACATCATACAAAAATACAATTTAATGGTTGTGCCTATAGTGAAATGGTGTTCCATATATAGTAGAACTTTTTTAAGATATAATCCTTTTAAATATGGGGTTTTCTTTATAGTCACTCTGTATACAAACTGTTCAGTTCTCATGCATACTGGAGTACTGATGATACATATTCAGATAAGCTGTTCAGTATTTTAATGCTTATGAAGATAAGAGAATAAATGTTAAATATAAACTGTTCATTATCTTAAAACTACTAATGGATTAAACAGATCAAAAGAAACATACCTAAATTTTTTATTTGCTTTTTGATTTGATAAGTACAGTTTACTTTGAAAAAATAAAAAGTTCTTTATTTATATGCATTATTTGAATATAAAAACAATAATCTTCAACAAATACAACTCTGAGTCATGAGAGTATGTTGCCTTCACATATTGTGCTCGCTAAATCTAACTAAGCTTACCTGATGTCTTTTCATAGAAGAAAATAGCTGTAGCTTTTAAACATATAATTTAACCCAAAAACTTTTTCGAGAATGAAAGAAATGTCTAAAAAAAATCCCCAGATCTGTGGTTTGTTCCTAAGTCTTCTAAATTTCCCACCAGATTCCATTGTTCATGTCTGCAAAGAGCACCTGGTACTCACTTTCCCATGAAACCATAGATTACTGTTCACACTGATGTAAATAGTTTATAATTTGCTGTATAAAGTGGTATTTAAACTACAACTGCAGCTATTTTCAAAGCTATATTTCATTAGTAATTGTTCAAAACATATGTTGTAACATCATAAAAGGGTGGGGGAAAAGGGCTGTAAATAGTAAAACCTCAAACAGTGAAGAAAAACCGTATGAAAAAAAACATGGACAATTGTATTCTCAAAGAAGGATAGTCTGTTAGCAGATATAAACCAATGCTTTGGAGTGGATAGAAAAATTTTAAGAACATATGCTGTTTACAGACAAGAGATGAAACTGAACCTTTTTACATTTTTCTTTGTGAATTACACTAAATATATGTTTCAAAATGACAAACTGCTATTTCTAAATTAGTTGAGAGATAAGAACCATTAAAATAGAAATAAAATTATTATTTTTCCATAAATTTTGAAATTTGATATGCAGTTGTGCACACAATACATGAAGGTTGCTTGTTGGTTGTGACAGAATTAAGCACTTTATAAGAATGATATAATTTACATCAATACTGTAAATTATGAAAGACACATACACATGTACACCTTTCCTAGTTATAGAGGTTACAAGCTGAAATACCTGTAAACTGACGGGGAATGTTTAAACTTAATTAAAACAATGCAAGTTTAACAGTAATCATATATTTCAAAGTAATAACTTGAACATAAACTTTATCTCAAAATTTTAAAATTATAACAAAGCTTCTTCATAAACATTTGCAGTTTGCTTTCCATCTGCCAACAAATAGATTTTTAGTTGATCCCACCCTTGAACACCATACATCTCACTGATCATGAGAAAAAGCATGGTTGTTTGTGAAACCATCCAGCAACTTTCATACTTTGACCTTGAATCTATTTAGAATATTCAACGTTGTCTAAAGCATCAACCTGCAAAGACTGTTTGAGATTGGTTCAATATGCTGGAAGTAATTAACCAACAGGCTTTATAAAATAGAAATAGGGTTAAGTTCAATTTTGACCCTCTTGGGGCATTCCCCATAGTTCATAGTGTTTACATACAAATTTTGGTTGCGATTGGCCCAATATGCTTGGAGGAGTTAGGGTGCAAACAAATACACATTTCATCTTTATATATATATAAATTTTCATCATAAGCTATCTTAGTACTTCAAAATCAAAACAGACAAATTGTTTTTTTTCCAAAAGCAGGTTTATCGTGACTTAAAAGGTTTTTGAACACTTTACACACGATAGATATTTCTAGCTAGCAAGCACAGTCTAACTATGAAGTATTTACAATTTTTGAAGATTACAAGACAGGCACTTTTTTGTTATGATTAAATTCTAGTGAAGACCTACCTTACAGAATGAGAAGGTTGTGAAAAAAAAACAGAAAATGTTTGTGCCCAGAAAGCACATTAGTTATGAACTACAGTAAATTTGAATACCATACATCATCAAAGACAAACAGATATAAACTCATTCAAATTACAATATTTATTACCTATTTTAGATCAGGACACAGAAAGAAAAAAACCTATTCTATCAATAATGTAACTCTTACTCATGGCCTTGAGTTTTTCTTTAAATACTGTATATTATAAAATAAACACATACATGCATATATATTTTCAAGCTATAAATGTTTTGGTTCTGACTTATCAAAAAAAAGACAAAAGAGTAAAAAATTTTTAATCCTTGAAGTTGGTTTCATGCATGATCTACGGTACCTATAACAGTTATACAGACAACTTTTTCTAGCAGTAAGTATTTTTTGGTAGTGACTTAACTAACAAAACTTTTTTCTATCAACAGAATAGATTTTATTCATGACTTAAAGCATCTTTAAACACTGTACATTATGACAGATATTTACAGATATCACTTCTGGTTATCAAGCTTATTCTAATCTTGAAGTATTCATAGTGTAACGAATTTATTATATATTTATTTTAATATAGACGTTTGTTTAGATTAAGTTTATATTTAGAAACATACATAGCTTATACTGTTAAATATGTTTTGTGAAACTCACACCTATTCTCCAAAGTTGTAGAAGATTCTCGAGAGTAAGAATCAGCAATATATGTGTGTACGTAAATGCTTAAATGTAGCTTTGTATTGTTACATAGTCTGAATTTTCTAGAAAGCCTCCACATGCCTATAAATATAACCAATGCGACACGCCAAAAAAAGTATCTATTATAAGTTTGCTATAGTTAGTGTGCTATAAACTTCAGAAGCTATAACTGTATTGTTATAATGCTTATCAATCGGAAAACTTCAGATATTTGAACAGGAGCATTTATAAAGTTCGAACATTACAAATCATTTAACTTCAGTGGATTCTCATTGGACATTTGTACTTTTACAAAAACATTACCTAACTTCAACGGTGGAAAACTTGGCATGTGTGCCTGGTGAATAACGAAGGACAAAGCTAGCTAACTCCTTGTTAAGTGAATTATACTTACGTAAACTCGTAATTAACTCACTCATCGTGAACCCTTGATAAGATATTGAAGAAGTTCCAAACTAGAAGGAAGACTTTATATTGCTTGTAAGTTTGTGAAACTTTTGTTTATTAATCATTGTTTGTGATAACTATTTGTAATAACTGTTATTGTAAATTGTACTGTTGTGTGTATATTAAAACGTATTTGTGTTAAAAAAAAGAAAATTCTGTGTATCAATCTTGTTGGCAATTATCGTAAACTGACTATATATCAACTTTTACTTAACTGCTAAATCCAAAGTACAATTTAACTACTAAATTTAAATTATCA